ATTGTTTTTAATGCAACTAGTTTTGCTCAGTCTGCCACTATTTTCAAGAGAATACAAAACAATAAAAGTTGTGGAAGGACAATAACTCCTGTCAGAAGTGAACTAAAAAAACTTACAAAATTTATGAAATTATTTATGTCTCCCCCATGCAAAGCTCTGATTCCTTGTCCTGCTTTGACCCTACATTTTGTCCTGGTTGGTTTTATCAGCACTTCAGTTATTTAATAAGTTTTGGAATTTAACCTCGACCATCACTGAAAAGATATTTATTCTCGAAATGCACATGTGGTGTAGTAAAATTGGTATTGTTAGTGTTATCACCACTTTGGCCATTTAACTTATGTGTAGATATATCTTTCTGATCATTGTTTACCAACTAACGTTTATCTCTATCTATTATAGTTTTAAGATAACAGGCACAATTTGGTAAAAATCTTCATTGAAGGGCAACAAGTCTATTAAGAAGTCAACTGACGATTTAAGTAATTTAACTTATTTGTAGATCTAATTGTGTTGTGACCGTTTGCTGTCGATAGGCTTTCTCCATCTCTTTCACCAAATGCAACATTGAAGGGCAATTACTCCTTTCAGAAATTTACTGACAATTGTGTCATTTGAATTTTTTGTACATCTTACCTTGCTGAACGTTTTTGCTGGTCAAATTTTCTATTTGAATATTATACTTTTTAATAATACGCAAAAAGAAAAAAAAAATAGAAAAAACTAGTTATTTAAGTTGTACAACAATTGTGGGTCAAAATGGACTGTAAAAGGTTTTCAAGATAAAAACGAATGGTTTCAGAGGAAAATATGTTTAAAAAGTAAGATGACAAAAATAACGACCTCCAAGGAAAATTCCAAACGGAATGTCCCTTATCAAATGGCTTAATCATAAGCATAAACACATTAAAACGAATGCAAATATTAAACACAGAAGGAAGACGACAGTAGACGACGACATACGAAGGATGCAAAGTAAATGCTTTAGTCATGGTAAGCTAAAACATAATACATTATTTAAATATACAAACATATGCTTACCTACTGTACACATTACATTATTAGAATAAACAAACATATACTTACCTACTGTACATATTACATTATTAAAATATACAAACATATGCTTACCTACTATATATATTACATTATTAAAATATACAAACATAAGCTTACCTACTGTACAAATTACATTATCAAAATATACAAACAGATGCTTACCTTCTGTACATATTACATTATCAAAATATACAAACATATGCTTACCTACTGTACATATTACATAATTGAAATATACAAACATATGCTTACCTACTGTACATATTACATTATTAAAATATACAAACATTTGCTTAACTACTGTACATATTAAATTTTTTCAAAATATACAAACATATGCTTACCTTCTGTACATATTACATTATCAAAATATACAAACATATGCTTACCTACTGTACATATTACATAATTGAAATATACAAACATATGCTTACCTACTGTACATATTACATTATTAAAATATACAAACATTTGCTTAACTACTATACATATTACATTATGAAAATATAGAAACATATGCTAACCTACTAAACATATTACATTTTATTTAGGGAAACATGCAGAAATACTAACATATTTAGAAATCAAAGTGTCAATTATTGAGTTCTTACAGAAAATATCAAAACCAAAAATAATGTCACTATACTGGTTTTATCTCGATTATGACAAATTGAGAAAGGGTGAATTTATTTGCATGAGAGTGAAATATGCATAGCAGGAGACGCACCCGGCCTCGTTCTGTTTGGAGATCATGCGTTTCATTCAGTTTTTATTTGTTACCTTGATTTTTATTTTTTCTAATCGATTCACTAGATTTAAATATTGGCAAACTCCTGTCCCATTTACAATACAAAATACGTAAATTAACAGTACAATCTATCATATAATAAAATTTTATGAGTAACCTTTCTTTATACTTTCCTTTATAATTTAAATCATTGAAATGAATTGTTCATAAATCAAAGAGTTTGGTCTGTATTGTTAAATATTGACCTATCATTTAATATTTCTAAAATAGTATCATTTAAATGAAAATTTATGCACTTAATATGCCTTTTTACAACATTATTTTACAAGTTAAGTAAACATATGCACTGATCTATTGATGATTTAGTAGTCCGGAAAATGTCTATACTTGAATATATACATAAACGATCTTATAAAGAACACATATTTTTACATCATTACCATAGAATACTAATGAAAAATACAACAGAAGATATTTGTCATACATTGGAAATTTTTAGAACGTTTTGTCCCTCTCTAAATGAAAGGAGATATTTAGTATACATAATTTGACCATAACCCAACAACAACAAAAAAATCACTAGTCAAATAGACGTCAAAATAAATCTTCCAAAACAGGCAAAAATCTACACTGTATTGAATTGTGTGAATCAGGAAATTATATTTGTTAGTTTATACTTGTGAAGTATAATATTTTATAGAAAATAAGTTAAATGTTAGGTTAAGATAAGTAAACATTGAATATCAAATAAACGAACAAAAATACATAATGATTAAATGTAAAAATGAAATTATACATTTTACTTGTGCATTGAAAAAACACAAATTTTATTTTGAACGATGCCCTCGATAAAGACAAAGAAGGTATATTTCATTTTACTAAATATAGTTAATCATTGTTTATCATGTAGCTGATTGACTGAAAAGAAGACAACACATTAACATAAACAAGTTACTTTCACGTAAAGAATTTTAAGCAATGAAAATAGTTATTACTTTTGACTCGAAATAAACTGTAGGAAAATTCCATTATGCTGATTATTTTAAACTCTCGCTCTTAATTACCATTTTGAAAAAACATATTTTGACCAGTTTCAAAATGACATTTAGACTTAAATGACTCAAATAGTAGGAAATCTAAAAGACAGACTTGTTCAATCTTCCAATGTAACCAGCAATTGCGAACAGTTGTAACTCTACCTAGTGGTAACGTCCAAAAACTGCGAATCCATCGATTTATAAATTCGTCTATATTTAAATTAGATTATTGGTATAAGTACAAATATTTACACAGAATAACATATCTTTTGAACTCCCGAGCTACATTAAGAGGATTTCTACCTTTAAAGTCACATTCATTTACATTTGCTGAATTTTGTAATATACCTTTCACAACATTAACATGTACTTTATGACTTGCTTTAAGCAGTAGTAACACACCATGGTTCTTACATTGTTTTATTGTTTGCTGAATGTTTTAACAGTTCTTTAACAACATCAACATGTCCTTGCCGACTTACTATGAAAATTAAAAAAAATCATCTATTACTATCATATATATCAATATACACATCATCACACTGAAAATATTCATGTATATTCTCTATAGTGTTGAAGTAACAAGCAATCAGTAGCGGTGTGAATCCATTATTCCTTCATTTAATGACATCTGCTGAATGTTGTACCAATTCCGTAACAACTTTGAAATGTTCATTCTAACTTTCTGTATACAGAAGTGATACAAAATCATTATTACATATATTTACACATATACTGATACTATTCTTTAACAACATTAAGATGTCCATTTTGACTTGCTATAGACATATGAGACATACAATCATACTTACACCGATTTACTTCTGCTGAATTTTGTAACAGTACTGAAACAATATAAACATATCCATTCTAGCTTGCTATATACAGAGGGAATACCCCATTATTTCTACTCTGTTTTACTTCTACTGATATTATAGCAGTTCTTTAATAACATTAACCTATTCTTTCTCACTTTCTTTATACAGAAGAAATACATCATTTAGTTCTGCTGAATGTTGTACAAGTACTTTAGCAATATGTCCATTCTGACTTGCTGTATACAGAGAGGGTCCACTATTATTTGTAAACTGACTTACTTCTGCTGAATGGCTTGACAGTTCGGGAACAACATTAATATGGCCTCTCTCACTTGCTATTTACAGATATGATGCATCTTCATTTTTATACTGATTTACTTCTGTTGAATCTTGTATCAGTTTGTTTTTGAAATGTACACATTCATTCTCATTTTCTATATACAGCGGTGATACACCATTAATGTTACACTAGTTTGCTTCTGCAGAATGTTGTAAAAGTACCTTAACAACATAAACATGTCCATTCTGACATGCTTTATATTGAGGTAATGCATCGTATTTTGTGTACTGATTTACTTATGCTTAACGTGGCAACAGGTCATTAACAACATAAACATGTCTCGTCCCACTGACTACCTTTGCTTTTACACTGATTTCTTTCTAAGCATAGTTTAGATTCGTTAACAACATTACCATGTCCATTCTGACTTGCTATACACAGAGGTGATATACCATCAATACTACACTGTCTTACATCTGCTGAATGTTTTAACAGTTCTTTAACAACATCAACATGTCCTTGCCGACTTACTATGAAAATTAAAAAAAATCATCTATTACTATCATATATATCAATATCAACATCATCACACTGAAAATATTCATGTATATTATCTATATTGTTGAAGTAACAAACAATCAGTAGCGGTATGAATCCATTATTCCTTCATTTAATGACATCTGCTGAATGTTGTACCAGTTCCGTAACAACTTTGAAATGTTCATTCTAACTTTCTGTATACAGAGGTGATACAAAATCATTATAACATATATTTACACATGCCAAATACTGATACTATTCTTTAACAACATTAAGATGTCCATTTTGACTTGCTATAGACATATGAGACATACCATCATACTAACAACGATCTACTTCTGCTGAATTTTGTAACAGTACTGAAACAATATAAACATATTCATTCTAGTTTGCTATATACAGAGGGAATACCCCATTATTTCTACTCTGTTTTACTTCTACTGATATTATAGCAGTTCTTTAATAACATTAACATATTCTTTCTCACTTTCTTTATACAGAAGAAATACATCATTTAGTTCTGCTGAATGTTGTACAAGTACTTTAGCAATATGTCCATTCTGACTTGCTGTATACAGAGAGGGTCCACTATTATTTGTAAACTGACTTACTTCTGCTGAATGGCTTGACAGTTCGTGAACAACAGTAATATGGTCGCTCTGACTTGCTATTTACAGATATGATGCATCTTCATTTTTATACTGATTTACTTCTGTTGAATCTTGTACCAGTTTGTTTTCAAAATGTACACATTCATTCTCATTTTTCTATATACAGCGGTGATACACCATTAATGTAACACTAGTTTGCTTCTGCAGAATGTTGTAAAAGTACCTTAACAACATAAACATGTCCATTCTGACGTGCTTGATATTGAGGTGAGGCATCGTATTTTTTATACTGATTTACTTATGCTTAACGTTGTAACAGTTCATTAACAACATAAACATGTCTCGTCCCACTGACTACCTTTGTTTTTACACTGATTTCTTTCTAAGCATTGTTTAAGTTCGTTAACAACATTAACATGTCCATTCTGACTTGCTATACACAGAGGTGATACACCATCATTACTACACTGATTTACATCTGCTGAATGATGTAACAATTCTTTTACAACATAAAGATGTCCATTCTGACTTGCTATATACAGAGGTGATACACCATCATTGTTACACTGATTTATACTTGCCAAATGTTGTAGAAGTTCTGTAACAACATAAACATGTCCTTCCAGACTTGCTGCATATAAAGGTGACATACCACTATTACTACACTTATTTACTTCGGCTGAATGTTGTAACAATTCTTTAACAACATTAACATGTCCTTTCATACTTGCTATAGCCAGAGGAGACATACCAGCATAACAACACTGATTTATCTTTGCTGAATGTTGTAAAAGTTCTTTAACAACACTAACATTTCCTTGTTTACTTGCTATATAAATTGAAGAACATCCATTACTATCACATATATCAATATCAACATCATCACACTGAAGAAGTACACGTACAATCTTAACCCTGTCGTAGTAACAAGCAATCAGTAGTGGTGTGATGCCATTTTCTCTAAATTTATTGCCATCTGCTGAATGTTGTAAGAGTACTTTAACAACGTGTACATGTTCATTCTGACTTGCTATATACAGAGGTGAAACACCATCATCATCACACTGATTTACGTCTGCTGAATGTTGTAGTAGTTCGCGAACAATATTAGAATGTCCATTCTGACTTGCTATATACAGAGGTGATACACCATTATTTTTACACTGATCTACTTCTGCTGAATGTTGTAAAAGTTCTTTAACAACATAAACATGACCATTTTGACATGCTATATACAGAGAGGATGCGCCATTATTTTTACACTGAGTAATTTCTGCTGAACGTTGCAACAGTTCTTTTACAACATTAACATGTCCATTCTGACTTGCTATAGATAGAGGAGACATACCATCATTACAACACTGATTTACATCTGCTAAATGTTGTAACAGAGCTTTAACAACATTTAGATGTCCATTCTGACTAGCTATATACACATGTGATGCACCATTATTTTTACTCTGATTAACTTTTGTTGATTGTTGTAGCAGTTCTTGGACAACATTAATATGTCCATTTTGACTTGCTATATACAGAGGTGATACACCATTATTGTCACACTGATTTACTTCTGATGAATGTTGCAACAATACCTTAACAACATTAACCTGTCCATTTTGACATGCTGTATACAAAGGTGATGCACCATTATTTTTACACTGATTCACATTTGCTGAATATTGTAACAGTTCTATAACAACATTTATATGTCCATTTGTACATGATAAATACAGAGGTGATGAACCATTATGTTTACACTGATTTACTTCTGCTGAATATTGTAACAATTCTTTAACAACATTAACATGTCCATTCTGACTTGCAATAGACAGAGGGGATACACCATCATTATTATACTGATTTACATCTGCAGAATGTTGTAACAGTTCTTTAACAACAGTAACATGTCCTTCCTGACTTGCTAACAGTAAAGGGAACCAGCCATCCTCTGTACAATAATTAATATCGCTATTCCTACTAATCAACCATTTTACCAGGTCAACAGTACCCATATAGCAACTTCTTGCAAGTGCTATTTCGTCGTTGGTAACGTCTCGTGTACCAGCGAGTTTTTCCTGCTTTGAATGATCAAGTTTGTTTAAATTATTTATAAACTTTTCTGTAAACATAGTAGAATTCATGTTTCTGTTGTCACTTACATTGCATACATAACCGTTTTCCCAGTCTTTCAGCAGTCTTTCTATATATATATTTATATGGTTATCAGGTATTCTTATCGCAGACTCTGTATTTTTGCTCATGTTGTATGTTGTCTTCCATATAAATCTTTCACATATGAAGTCAGTTTCAGCATGATCAATGAAAAGCTGTAACATCTTCTCTCCATAATATTTGGCAAGGTAGTCAAACAACTTATCATGAATAATTTTATATGTACTATCTTCCTTAACCACATAGGTACCTTCCAGTGTTTCAAGGGATTTCCTTAAACGTTTGACTGGTGTTCCTTTTTTCAATTCACGTTCTTCCAGTAAATTTTTTATCACTGCTGCTATTTTCTTATCTTTTGTGGACAAATTTTCTTCTGTCAAAGTGTTATTAAACATCACACAAAGGACCAAGCTACTATATGTCATGTTACCAGTCTTACCTTCTCTATACAGCTCATCGAGTTCATTTTCAAAAATATCAAAAGGATTGCTAAAAAATTCGTCTATGTTTACAGGTTTCTCGAGATTTTGTTTATGATATAAACTACATAAAAGTGGGAAAAAATCATATTTTTCTGACAACTCTGTAACTTTATCAGCATTTTCCTGAAAGTAAACTTTAGCTAAAGCTAATTTTTCAGCCGCATTCAGTCTGAATTCTTCTGAGTCTAAATCAATGATGCACGTTTTGAAAATAGACAAATTGCTTATCTGTTCGTTTTCATAAATATCTAACCTACACGTAGACATAATTTTACAACATTTGTCTTGAAGAAGATATTGAATATGTTCAATCCTTTGTTTCCACTCACTGAAAATCAGTTGATTAAGAGTATACCGCCCACATATATCATCAAAGACAAATAAGGTTTTCCTTTCATGTTTAAACCACTGTCTTATATCTCCAGGGGTATCACATGGAATTGTAATATACCCTTGTTCCATCATCTTTAGTGCAACATGACGTGAAAGGAAACTTTTTCCAGTGCCAGAATTTCCAACAACTGTTACACAACTTTCAGTCAAAATACTTTTCATTACTTGTTTCTCTGCTGCTGTACTAACAAATAAGTAATCATCTTTCTTCCACTGTTTCAATCGTCGTTCAAACTGCTCTGTCAAAAACAAATAATAAAATAGATTTAAAATGAATCAATTGTCATAAATTTTGTTTGATTTTAGAGTATCAAATTATTTACAATTAAAATTTAATGATAGAAAATAAACAAACTAGTAAGCGTGTATTACTTAATTTGTACAAGAAAGGCGGAAGATATCGAAGGACTATTCAAACTCATAAGTCCAAGACAAACTGAAAACGCTATTGCGAAACAAAACAAACATAATACGATTAAAAGGCAAAAACAAATCCACAAAACACAACATAGAAAAGTAAACACTAAGCAACACGAACCCAAACTTAAATTCCGGAATGTTACTCCAGAAGGGTTACCAGATCATGTTTCAAAAATTAGTAAAGCATCGGTCACATAAATATGATAATTCTGTAACTTGCCGAATGAATATTTTTGTAATTGAAACTCTAAGGCAAAGGGTAGACAAGACTTTTACCGGTATCAACAGCATAGTGATTGAAAAACGAAAATGCACATAGAACAACATCGAAACCGAAAACAATATCAACACGAATCCCCTCTTAAACAAAATTAGGGGTGATCTCAGGCACCCATCGTGTTGCTCATGGAAGAACAAATCGTAATTCAGTTTGTCACATTCGGGTAAATAAGAACAGGATTGAAGTTACGACGATTGGAACATATCCGTTGCTATCTGTGTAAGAGTCGACCAACTCATAATGTTATCCGTTAATTTCGAAGGCATGTCTGCAACTTCACCACTTGGAACCCTTAGTTACATAGCTTCCATGTAAGCAGAAACATTTGTTATGTGAACAATTGCTATTTTCAACCACAATGATTTACAGTAATCGCTGTCATATTCATTGAGGACATCAACATATGCTTTTGTGCATAAGAATTATGATTTTAATCGTTAAAATATTTGGCTTATAATTTTTCCAGAATTTGTCCAATAATCCGTCTGTAGAATTATCATCACTGTTAGAAAATGTCCTGAACAGCAAGGTATATTCTAAAAAATCATTGTCCATATATATTGGATACTCATATGAACATTTATAAATGATCCAAATATGAACAAATTGTAATTCGATTATGTCGCATTCGGGGATATAAGAATAGGATTGTAGTAACGACAATTGGAACATATCCGTCGTTATCTGTGTAACATTAAATTGAGAATGGAACTGGGGAATATGTCAAAGAGACAACAACCCGACCAAAGAGCATAAAACAGCCCAAGGCCACCAATGGGTCTTCAACACCGCGAGAAAATCACGCTCCCGGAGGCGGGCTACAGCTGGCCCCTAAACAAAAATGTGTACTTGTGCAGTGAAAATGGACGTCACACTAAACTCCGAAACATATAAATGAACTAAAATTAAAAAAAAACATACAAGACTAACAAAGGCCAGAGGTTCCTTACTTGGGACAGGCGACAAAATGCGGATGGGGTTAAACATGTTTTGTGAGATCTCAACCCTCTCCTATACCTCTAGCCAATGTAGAATAAACAAACACACAGCAATAGGCACAGTAAAACTCAGTTAAAAAGAAGTCCGAGTCCGATGTCAGAATAGGTAACAGAAGAAACTAAGCAAAATGACAATAGTACATAAATTAACAAGGGACTACTTGCAATTCCTGACATGCCAGCTCCAGGCCTCAATTAAACTGATTGAAAGATTATGTCTTCATCATATGAAAATCAAGTACAATCCTTCACGTTAGGGTTTTAGTATCATACCATCATAAAATATATGAAAAGAACACAACCCGTATCATGCCAACAACTGGTTTTAGAATAAATGTGTTTATTTCCGATGCTAAGACCCTATGAGTGAATCAATATTAATACCAAAATATGCCATCTTCAATGACCTGACAACAGTATAGTAACTATATCCCTTCCGAATAAGTCTGTTTAAAGGTTTGGTTAGCTTTTGAGGTGAATGACGACATTTTTGTGCTTTGTATAGAATATTATCATAAAAAATTGGATGTGAAATACCTGAACGTATAAGATGTCTGCATGTTGATTTATATTTACGAATGATGTCCTTGTACCGATGTTAAAATTTAGTAAATGTTTTGACTAGTTTGTGATATCGAAAACCCTGGTGTAATATTTTTCAGTAATACAGAGGTTTCATTCGTTAAAATCAAATACGTTGTTACATACACGAACGAATCGAACAAGTTGAGATATGTAAACACCATAATATGGTGACAAGGGAACGTCACCATCTAAAAATGGATAATTAACAATAGGAAATGAAAAAATCATCTCTTTTATCGTTAATTGTGGTATTAAGCTTCCCGTTAAATAGATAGATATCAAGATCCAGGAGAGGGCAGTGTTCATTGTTAGTATTAGCTTTATTTAAAGTCAGTTCAGTAGGATAAATCTCTTTAGTGTACAAACTGAAGTCGTCATTATTGAGAGCCAGTATATCATCCAAATATCTAAAAATGTTATTAAACTTTTGTATCAGATGTAGTTTTGATGGATCTTTGCTGAGTTTAGTCATAAATTTTAACTCATTACAATACAGAAACAAGTCTGCAATAAGTGGTGCACAGTTAGTCCCCATTGGAATTCCGATAACTTGACGATATCCGGAATCTCCATACCGAACAAAAATGTTATATAGTAAAAATTCAAGTGCAGTTATCGTATCTGTGTAACAGTCGATCAACTCATAATGTTATCCGTTAAATTTCGATTTAAAAAAAAGTTTGTTACTGATTATCTTCAATGAGTACAGGTCCTAAAACTAGAAGTTGGACGGAATGGTTGATTGATTGTTTGGATGTTTAACATATAATGCTAAATATCTCTTGCATATTCCCGACGAGAACAAATTAAGAATGAAAACAATAGGTATGTCCATTGTTAGAGGCCGTCCGGAATAAAGATTAGGGAGATGAGGTTTTATTGGATAGGGATAGCAATTTTGCCTTGCAATATGCTACATACGGATCTTTCAAATAGTTGTTTCGTAACGTGCAGAGAGCGATGCACTCTCTTAACAAGGGATATCGGATTTAACGTCCATATTTTGATCGAACGTGGCTTTGAACTTGTACATCCGGTACAGCTAAACAGACGACACACTTTAGCTAGAGTTTTACTGCCGTTCGAAAAAAGTGAAGGGAGTTGGAGCAAAGCATACTTTAAATCATTATAAGATATTGACGAGTTCATGTGATTGATCTAATAAATCATCAAACATGACGTGACTGTTCGTTTGACATTAAACATGTTCACAAGATTTCCAGACCAAATATCGAATCATTCTTTTTAACAGAAACTAGTCATGGGATTTTGTAACGAAAAATTTAATGCCCATTCGATTACAAAACATCAAAGTATCATCAGACAGAAAGTGATTTACCAGCAGAACGGAATATCGCTTACAAGGTACCAGTCATTATGATTATAAACCAAATGTGTGTCAAATCGATACTTAGCTAAGAAGCTAAGCAATATTTTATCATACAAAACATATGAGAAGATTATTGTAATAAACCGTGGCCACTTACTTCATGATTAGTGGTATACACATTTGGATCATAAAATTTGGTGCAGACCAAGCCTTACATGTAAATGGGCGGAAAAATCTAATGCGGCATGTAAAAGCAACGTTAACTCTGCGTTAACTCCAAAATTAAGTAAACATAAAAAGTAAACGGTCGTTTACTTTCACGTTTACCTTCGCGTTAACATGAAAAAAGCGTTTTCTGTTTTTTATAAAAGTAAACGCGCGTTAACGGAGTTTGGCATGCCATCTTGAATACAATGACTTATCAAATCATATGACTAGCTACATTAAAATGCCCAACTGTCGAAAAAGATTTACGACTAGAAGGAATGATTTGACACTTCGTTAATTTAGCTAACGACTCACAAGTGACAAAATGGATATTTATCCCAAAACTGTAAAACTTCTACTTATAATTCAATCTAAATCAGCATCTTCTATATATAAAAAAAAAGTTGTAAAGGACTATTACAATCAAAAACATTCAGGCCTTATTGAAAAACAATTGCAGTTAAAATTTCTCGACAATCGAATAAAACATGTTTTCGATTGTTTTAGTTTTATAATTAAAATGTTAAGTTAAAAGTCATTTTAACAAAATAAAGAAAAGGACAAATGTAGTGTATTTATAATTTACATCAATAATTAACGCAGAAAGCAAACGCGAGTTTCCTTTCAATTGCACGTAAAAAATAAACAGAAATTTGTAAAAAACTCCCTTATACTATACTGGCGAAACGAAAACAGTGTAACGCGTGTTGACTTATGTTGGCAATATCAATTTCATTTTGACCGCGTTAACGTAATTTATATTAAAGGCGCGTTTACTGGTAAACATGATAATTGATGTACACAAACGTAATATGTGCAAGTGGCGTAAACGTACGCTTAGTTAATGTAATTCTTGGTCTGCAACTGTATCAATGAACATCATGTTTGATACGTCTTAGGATATAACATCTTTCGTTTTATTTAATGAGATATTATATTCTGCAATATATATGATCCATATTGTAATTAACATTATTTTACAATTTACTGAAAGACAAAAATAAACAAGGAACGTATGATAGAAGCGTAGAAAGCTTTTGTTCTACATTTTAATTCAAAGACTCATAGAATCGACCAATCACTATATATGATTTAAGCCTCTATATTACCAATCATCTACAGATACGAATTCGACTTTAAAAAAAAAAATATAAATCCAGATACAACCACCGACGTAAAATGAAATCAATTCCCGTACTCTGGGGTACAAAGACGTTTTTTGGATCAGCCTATCTATCAGTAAAATACGGAAAAGTTAAAACAAAACAAATCTTTTGTCAGATTTTCAGATGTTTTAAGAATGTTTGACACATTAGTATGGCATAACAATTTAAACCAAAGACTCAATCTAAAGGTTTTATAGCTAGCTTAACCTCTCACTTGTATGACAGTTACATATAATTCCATTATATTGACAAC